TGTTCTGTCAGTGCCGCCCGAGGGGCATCCTCTCCATTGTTCTTTTTCTTGTGTGCAATCAAGTCATCTCAGACTTCTAGCAGCCTTATGATTGCTTTGTCTCCAAAGCCTTCAGTTCTTCTCCAACCTGGTGGGTTCTCGTCAACTCAAGGCAGCCCGTTCCTTGATGGAGGTCATCAATCTCCTCTTTGGTCCTGCTCCCATTTTTCTGCCTTTTGATTTTCTGGGTGAAAGGCTTAGCCAGATGGTGATGGCCATGTATCTTGCTCCATTTTATTCTTCCGGTTTGCTTTCGGAATGGAACTTACCTGAGTCACCCTATGAAGTGAGCTTTGCTGGGAGAAGGGCGGAGGAACTCTGTTGATTTCCTTGGAGTCCTGAGTGTCTGCAGATCCCACAACCCACAACGGTCTTCTGGATAGGCTCTGTCAGCTGGGACAGGAGGAGCTGCACTGTACTGCTTCCATTCCTGCCTGGTTGGCCACTCTTCCATCTCAGAAGGAGAATGAGATGGGTTATTGTCCCAGCTCCTGGCGCTTAAGCCATGAAGCATGGGGGGCTCTTTTTTATTCCCCTGGGCTCATTCACATGGACCAGTGGGGGAGGGATCACCTGTCTATTCTCCACTCATGGAGAGTGTTACTTCCAGACAGAAGAGAAACCTGCTGGCTCAGATCAAGGCAACACCCGGCCCAGCATTCTCTTCACATAGTGACCATTCAGCTGCCCAGTGGAACTCTCTTTTTTAAAAGATCCATATTTTTAATTTTTATTAATATTTGAACAATGCAAAACAAAAGCAATGTAAATACATGTATGTGCATATATAGGATGCATGGATATGTTCAGATGGCTTTCAAAGAGTTACACTTGAACTTGAACAGAAGCACACCAGATATCTGAGTAAACCCCCATTCACAGGTCAGCTTTTTATACTATTTGTTCAATGGCTGGAAAGGAGCATTCCTCACAAGTTCTATTCTCCATATTTTAGCTACCAAAGGGGCATGGAAAGTCCATTTGTGTTAAACAAGAGTTAACTTCTGGGAAGTAGGTCGATCACTTAAAGATCAAGAATATGGGTAAATATTGAAGGGTTAAGTGTACAAATTTATCCATATGGTGAGCTCCTCCCCAAAAGAGGTCTCAACAAAATATAGAGTTAAAAGCAACTTTCACTGCACTGCTCCACCAGTTGGCCAATTCAGACAAAGACCTATTAAAGAAGCATCATGGTGTCTAATAGACATGGAATGAGAATAAGCAGAAACTTCTATGAGTACATCAAGCCAAAAATAATATCCATGTGGCATTGACATCCATTACATGACTCGGTGACAAAATCCAATGCTCCCTCCAAGATGCCACAAGATGTATCTATATTTAAAGCTGAATTTTGCCATAAAATCTACATCGCATGCAAAAATGCACCAAAAGGAAAGTGACTTCACATTAGATGATGTACATTTCTTAGCAGTCATAACTGTGGGAGGATCCCATTGCATTTTAATATGCTGTGAACTCAGTGACATGCTATTAAAAGAGGATCTAAAAGTTTGATTCTAAACATGTTTTATGTCCTCAAAGCAGAACAAATGTCAGCACCACAGTGGATTTGTCTCAATGTGAAAAATGGAAAACAGGACTTGTTTGTCCTAAGACTATAACCCAAAGAGAACCATGTAGCTTTAATGATAGGGATGCTATTTGTAAACTACAGAAAATGGGAAATTATACTTTAATTATAGATACTGGGATAGGATGTTTATGTGTAACAACAGTTCAATCAATATTCTGGTCCGATGGAACAATTTTGGAAAAGGATCAACAGTTCAAGTGTAATATAACTTAAAGCAAAACATGATGACTGGACATATACATTATGCTATTGAAATGGTAAACACAGAAATAAGATTAACAAAAGGAAAAGAATAGTTGAATTTTTCCCTGGGGTTAAATTTTGCAAAACTTTATAGAAGGAGAATCAACAAAACAACACTTACAGAAACAGATGGAATACAGCTAAAGAATTCAATATCCAATATTATTGTTCAGATCCATTATCAAAATAGGGAATTCCAGAGGACAGTTGATGAAGGAAGAGGATTGGTATGATATATAATATACTTAAAGATATTCAGCTAAATCTTCTGCCTTTTTACTCTTGTTACATGATTTTAATGTTACATTATTATTTTTATTTTTCTCTCTTTTTCCCTCAAATATCATAATTATGTTTGATATTGTAAGATAATTACAATATCAAGAGGAGGGTGTATGTTACAGTGTGCATGAGTTCCTGAAGGCCTAAGACCTAGTAGAAAATGAAGAATGATAAAGCATGATGGGACTGACCAGACTGAAAAAACTGAGAGGCTGGGGAGTGGCTGGAGAATGAGACACAACAGGCAAGATAAGCCCACGCGGTACCATCCAGAGAGAGAATGGAAAGTGAGGAGAGTGTGTGTGTTCAAGATAAGGACCATCACATTCTGTGTCAGCTCTGCTCAAGGAGTTCACTGTTCAATCCAGTCAGACTAAGCAGATAGAGTCAGCTCAAAGGTATAAAATGACTGGGCTTTCCAGCTCCTGTGTGTGCCAGAACAGCGCTGCTACTGGTCACCCACAGTCCTGACGGATCACTGGGAGTGTCTATTGGCTGGGAGTATGAGTGTTGCATGAATGCGAGTGTGAATGAGGCCTCTTGCTATTGCTGCTGATGACTGCTGAACTTGTATTCTTGTACTTCAGTATTCTTTATATCATAGAATAAATGTTACATGCATAGTGTTTAAAACCAGATCTGGTGTTCAGTTTCTCTTTGACAAGGGCTTTCCTTGGAAACCTGGTAGTCTCTTCTTTACTGAATCAAGGACCACTTTTTACGGTCACAAACTTGGGATACAGATCAGGGCTTTTAACCCCACTCAGAAGCCAAGTGAGAAGGAGAAAAAAGTCATCCCATCTCTGGACAGAGAGGAAAGCTTGGATCTTGCACATCCTTCTTTTTTCTTTTCTGGTGGTCAACAAAAACATGGTGCATCCTCACAACAGCCCCTTTAGATGGCCCACTTCCTGAAAATTCCTCCAGCCTTTCTTGACTGTGCTAAAAGGGTTTTTTGTTTAACCGAATCCTCTCTCTACAGTGATGTTCTCACAAGGAAATACAAGAGTTGAACACTTGGGAAATTTCCCTCGATCTTGCACAACTGCCTGGTCTTGGCTGTTTGGCACAAATCTTTTCTGTTTTAGGCACACCAAGGTTTCTTTGGAGTGTTATCTCAAGCCTGCCTCCACTCTGTGGCTGAAAACAGAGCTGATATGACTTTCAAAGGCACTTTGTACTTTGCACATGCTCAGGGTCTCTGTGCACTGATTCTGCAGCACTCACAAAGTGCTGAGAAAATTCATCTAGAGCAACTTCTTTGGTCACAGATACACAAAGTCTTGAAAACTGTTTCCCAGGGATTAAATAAATTTCCCTCATGTTGTGAGAGAAATCTATCTTTGCTTTATATTTTTTTTTTCCGGTGGTCCCTTGGATTGCCACCATATGAGTTCTCAGCACCATTTTTGCTTTGCTCTTTCCAGCAAAGGCCAACCAGCTGGCCTCCTTCTCCCCCTTGGCCTTTCTTCCCGCAATTGCAAAGGCAATCACTTGGCCCAATCCAAGAATAGCTTCTTGCATGGAGGAGCAGCAGTCAGGGAGATCTGAGGGTGGCTTAAACATTTGCAGGATTTGTACAGCTCCTAGTAAGCATAGAAAGCCCTCGTAGTCCCATTTCTGGCCGGCAGCAGCCTCCCACGCTGTGGGAACTTCCTGTCTGGATTCTTGTAAGGGGTTGTATCTGTGGCTGCCCATGAAGACTGCCTGGATACTTAAGTTGGTCCATAATAGAGCTCCCAGGATATTGCTGGGAACTGGAAGTTATTCACATATAACACCCATCCTTTGTCATCTACACTGGCTACCAACTGAAGTCTGGTTCCAATTTAGGGTGCTGGTGATGACCTATAATCCTGAAACGGCTTGGGTCCTGGATAACTGAAGGAACGCTTTTCCCCTACGTGCTCTCCCACCCCTTCTGATCTAAGGCACAGGCTTTCCTCCACGAGCCAATCTTCCAAGAGACCAGGATGCTGACCTCCCAGAGGAGGGCCTTCTCTGTGGTGGTGCCCTGACTATGGAATATGCTCCCTGGAGAGCTTTGTCTCATGCCAACCCTTCTTTCCTTTTGGCATGAGGTGAAAACTTTTTAGTCTCCCATTATTGTATTTGTTAACGTCTTTTATTTAGAAGATTCATATCTTAACTGTGGATACTGTACAACCGTTACTCTTATTTCTATTCTTACTTTATTGTATAAATGCATTGTAGACTAGTCGAAGACATCTGTGATGGGACAGTATAGAAAAGTTTTAATTTAAATAAGTAAATAGAACAGATGAGCATACTTTGTTTTGATCAAGAGTATCTAGATGTGGTGAGCAAGCCCCTGGCCAAGCCCCTTGTCCAGAGGAAGCAAAGGCAGAAGACTGGGGGAAGAACAAAGAGGAGATGGGTGGCCATCACCAGTGAAGGCACCACCTTGAGTTGACCACAATTGGTCAGGGTTAGAAAGAATGGGGGTTCAGCAGGGGAAGCATTCATGGGGTGCCAGACAAACAGGAAGACTTGACGGAACATGCGAACAGGAACAACAGAGAGGATGCCCCTGAACAGGTGCTGCTAAAACAGGAGCCTGTGAGTTTGCAAAAGCATAGTCTGCAGAACCTGCCGATCTTCAGCCTTTCCAGGCAAGCCGTACTGAGCAGAAGAAGTAGAAAATGGCTGAAAAGTCTTATCACCCCCCACTAACTGATCAGTGCAAAATTCAGCCTGCACACCCAGCCCTGCCATAGGAATGTTTCCCTGAATCATTTGAAACCTGGTTTTTCATCAGCATATGTTGGCAGGAAGGAACATAGAAAAATGGAAGCGATGCTGCAGTCCTTCCAACATCAGCTTCCAGGCAGATGGGTCTTCCATTTCCATAGTTCAAGGTGTAGAAAAGCACAGTCAATCCACAACTCTTCACAAAGAAGGTAGGAGAGAAACAAACTCCTTATTCTGCCACCAGGCCCTGTGTATTTCTTTCCCCTGGAATTATCAAAAGTTCTTGAAGATTTCCACAAGGGTTTCCATCCACCTGGTCAATAACAAAGAAATCCCCAAGAAAGCATCTTGAATACAAATGTGCCCCATGCTCTTTGGTGAGGGACTGCAGCTGTGTCTGATGTCTGGCCTTCTGCTCATCTCTGCAGAAATTTGCTCCTCCTGGTGAGGCTGCAAAGACAACTCTTCTTATTCTTCTAGATGACCTAGGAGAGACAGCCTCCATCTTCCAGGAATGTTTTTCCTGCTCTTGCTGCTGCTGTGGCTCCTGCCTCTGGCCACTCAGGGGTTGTGTCCTTTGTATGACCTGTTTTTGCGGCCAACTGACTATTACAGGCCAGGAAACCTGATTGTTGGTGGAAATTTACTGCTTGGCAGAAGCTTCTATCTTGATCAAGTAGAGTTTAATACCTTACCATGAACGATGGGAAGAGTTAATGGAATGTAGGTTCTGCCTAGTGGAATCTGGGATGCATTTGTGCATCTTAACCTTCATGGCAGTTGCTCATTCCACTGGTCTGTGTCAGGGATACTGCTCAAGAGGAAATGTTGAGCATGAGAGCCTCAGACCCTTGCCAGGAGGGCTTTCAACCAAAAGGGAGAGCCATCCTTGCAGTTTCTCCATGAGCCTCCTTCTGAGAGGTGCTGGATAAGCTGCAGAGTTAGCAAGAACGAATGGTTTGTTTTTGTATTCACAATCCATAAAGGATGAAAGGCTGTTCTGCCATCCTTGCTCCAAGCAGACACCATCCGAGAAAGGGATGGGAATCTGGGTTCCCCTCCAAGATCTTCATCTTTTCAGATCTGCTGAATCCGCTGGCAGATCAACTGAGCACCAAGAGTGACAGAGCAAGCCTGTCTGACAAGCAGCTATCTCACAACAGCAGCAAAATGAGCTCTCCCCCACCCTGTACCACAAGAAAAGGAAACTCTGGCATTCTCTTGACCGAGTTTCTGAGCTGAGCTCAGTTTGACTTTCTTGCTCAGAAGTGCCTCCCAAGTTTAACCTTCTTTAATGGCCATGACTTTCAGGTCATGGAAAAGGTCCAGATAAAAGACCTCAAGCAACTTATACAATTGAAGCAGATGAGCTGGAGATCTGCTTGGTCCCATTCCTGAACCCCATGAGCTCTCCCAGCATTCCCAACCAAATCCTGGGAAAATCTGGGGATTCCCTAAAGCTGCATTCCTTGGGTAATTCCAGAGTGCAGGAGGAGTGTTTTTCATGCAGGAGACTCTGCGTGGGTGTCACCGCTGCACAACGAGGGGCTCTGGTCTTTGGGCCTGAGATAAATAATTGTTAGGCAGCACTGTAACAAAACATATCACTAGTGAAATACACATCAAATATTCTGAAATCAAGAGGAAGTTCAGGAATAAGACTCTCTTCCTTTTCCAGGAAGAATTCCCAAAAAGGGGATGCACTAAAATCTCTGTCCTCAGTTGCTCTTTCTGCTCTTCTCCTTCAGAAAGTCCATATCGTCTCAACACCCAAATAGCAAATGCCCCCTGCCCCCCCCGCGCACACACACACTCTATGCTCCTGCATAATATCTGTCTTCTGACCTCAAAAACACTCTAGGCCACCGGAAGGGACAATTCCTCTTTAACTACTTGGAAATGGATCTTAAGAAAATGAGGAGAGGCAGTCAGAGAGCTCCCTTATTGGCAAAAAAAACCCCTCCCACTTTGTCTTGTTCAGCCTCTCCTGCTACGAGTGGTATGGGTACAGTCCCTTGATGAGTGAGTTTGTGAATCTGATTTGCTCCTTTGGCAAGAAAAGATGCAGGGTACTCATCCTCATGGCTCTGCATTAAAGGCTTCTTTGAAAAGTATCACGGGGGAATCCATCATCCTAGGCTAGGCAGGGAAACCTCTCAAGGTCAGTATCCAGCAGGGCCAATCTGGGTGTGTGGTGGGAACTTTCCCTACTTACCACTCTCCCTCCCCCCCATCCCTCCAAGGATAACCTCTATGGGCAAGAGACAGAGCCTTGGAGAATCTGCATTGTAAGGAGTGGCTCTGTCATGCATGTAAAATAGAGAAAATCAAGTTCATACAAGCTTAGTCAGATTGTGTTTTACACCCTCTCATGGCTCTACTGCACACACACTCACTCAAATTCTCCAAGTGCATTTTAGCACACTCAAATTCAGAGGGAGCTGTAGTCCAGGGCTTTGATGGAGGGTCTCCCAAGGCTTTCCTGGACATGCCAGGATTGACCCTGACAGTCCACCCTGGGAAGCAAGGCCCCGTCCTGTCCCATGGACCTTCCCTGCTTCATTGAGCAAAAGGTGATGCTGCTTCACAAGCATTCTTGCAAGGCACTGATGGTCCCAGGAATTCAGTTTCTGTGGAGAAGGCTCAGGTGAAGTCCTTGAGGACATAAGGAGAGTATCAAGTCTGATGACTAAGGAGAGGTTCTGTTCTAGGAACCCATCTAGGTGCATGGGGAGGGAAAAGCGAGGGAAGCTCTTGCATTCACCTCTTTCTTGTGGGGTTCTACTTTAGCTGTTTGGCTGATGAAAGGAGATACCCCTTGCTGTCCTGGATGGAAAAAATTTCCTCTGCAGTCTTCTCTCTCCTGTGTTTCCTTTTGACAAATTATTGAAGGAGGCATGTTAAATAAAGGGTGTTCTGCTAGAGATACCCTTGGTAAACACCCTGGGGGAAATGATCCTGGAATATTTTGCTTTAAGAAAAATGGTCACCTATTCTGTGCTTATCTTCACACGTGTCCTGATATTGCTACCTCCATGAAAGATCAATAATGAGGAACTACCAGCACATCCTGGCGTTGGTGTTTGCCATCACTGAACTCAACAAGGATCAGGCCATCTTTCCCAACGTGACGCTCGGCTTCCGCATCTATGAGCACAGGGACATGGTAATAATAATGCATGAGAACAGCCTCCTCCTGCAGTCTTCACAGGGAAGAAGTTTTCCAAATTATACATGTGACAAGCAGGGTCAACCAATCTCCATCATTCATGACTTTGTCTTTAAAGTTTCATCTGAGACTGGAGTCTTGATGGGTGTCTTCAAGATTCCAGAGGTAAATGTGTTCCACAGGAGATGGGTGTGAGGGACTTGCAGGGAGAAGGTCAAACTCTGGGAACAGAGTGGGTGGGATCTCTGCAGTGGGTGTTTCTCTTCAATTCTGGGTAAGAGGGCAGGGGGCCTTCCCACCTGGTGAGACTGTCATGGGAACACCTAAGTGGAGGCCCTGAAGAAATCTCAGGAGACTTCTGTTTGACATATCCCAGTTAGCAAGGGGCCTGCTTTACTGAGATGATCAACTGAGAGAAATATTGGGTACTCCTTGAACAATTTAAATAATTGGAACCAAAGAGGGAGCAAGAAGTGGACATTTACTTTCGTCTCTGGCTGAGGAGACCCATTGTGCATGGGGTGGAGAGGAGGGAAACAGGCTTAATGTGTATAAGTTCACATCCCTGGAGAAAGAGTGATGAGATAGGAGTCCAAGCCTAGTCCATCTAAGAAGATTCCTTGTTTTCAACATGCAACCAAAGAGTGTTATGAAGGATTATCAGGTATTTCTTTGCTCCAGCTCCTACATGGCTTGCTCCTTTATCTAAAGGGCAAAAGTAATGTATTCCTCTTTTCTTCCAGATCAACACTCAAGAAGTGCCTCGCTATGAGGGTCTAGTCCAGATACTGCTGCATTTCCACTGGAACTGGATAGGGCTGATTGTTCAGAGCGATGACCGCGGTGAGGTCTTCCTCCAGGCACTGACCTCCTCTGCTGCAGCAGAAGGACTTCTGCATGGCCTTCACTGAAATTTTCTCATTAACTGATGATGCACACGTTCACACAAGGAAAAATGGATACATTCCTCCCTTGTGGTCAGAAGCAGAAGTCATAATTTTCCTAGCTTTTGCTCAGTGTAGATAGAGAGTGTAGATTTCAAAAGCTATCTCCAAATTCCATTATCTCCAACTGTTTTATCATAAATTCCCAATTCACATTGCCAAAGTCCTTCTCTACATCTAAAAATACTAGGGCCACCCATTTTTCTAGATGCTGTATATCATCTTCCAAAGCATCCAAAATAGTTCTCAAATTGTTCTTCAGTTGCCTTTTTGGCAGGAAGTCGTTTCCATCAGTAGGAAAGAAGTCAATTAGAATCTGTTTCAATCTTTTCTCCAATATTTGAGGCAAAAATGTTATAGACAGAATGTAAGAGTGAGATTCCATATCTCCCAAGGATCTGTATCGTCTTTGGGAATGAACAAAATATTAGCTTCCAACCATGTCAGTGGGATAATAGCTTCTTGCAGCCCAATATGAAATATGTGTTTCAATGGAATCATCCAGATTTCTTCAAAAGTCTTATAAAATTCCACCAGAAATCCATCCAGTCTGGACCCTTTCCCCATTATTTGTCTTTTTATAGCTTCACTTATCCCTATTGGTGTGACAGGCTGATTCAATATATTTCATTGTTCCTCTGTCAATTGTGTGAGGTTTTGTTTTCTAATACATTTTTCTATTCAATCTCTGAAGCTCTCTTGTCTCACATATAGTTTCTGAAAAATTTCTTTTATATATCATCTATTTCCCCATTTGTACAGATCTCCTCTTTATTATCATCAAAAATTAAAGGATAAATCTTTTCTCTCTTTCTTTCTTAAGTCTGGGAGCCAGCAAACTTCGTGGTTTATTGGCATTTTCAGAATAAAATTGTTTAGTTGCTTTCAATTTATTTTTGCAATTTCTTCTGTTTCCCGAATATTTACCTTATGTTTTTAGATATTTAACTTACTCATCAACATTTTGTTCTTTGGATATTTAGCAATTCAACTTCCATTTTCTTGATGTTGGCTACCAATTTAAAATATTCCTCCCTTCTTCCTTTATTTCTCCTCAACATATATTGTATTACAATTCCTGTAAAGACTGTTTAAAAAGTGTCCCAAATATTTTGAGGTGATGTATAGAAAAACAGAAACATAAAAACAGAACAAGTCAGAAGGAGCCTCACGGCCATCTAGTCTGACTCCTCCATGTGCATGTCCTACCAATCTTTGAACACCCTCACCAATGGGACCTCAACAAAATCCTGTGAAAGCCCATTCCACACCCTAGGGGTCCTAAATATCAGGAAGTGCTTCCTGGTATCTAGATGGAACCTTGGTTCCTGAGCTTTGCTCCATTGGAGCGCATCCTTCCTTCCTCTGTAGGGGAGAACAGATCTCTACCCATCTCCATGTGACATCCCCTCACATACCTGTGTCTCGCCAACAGATCCCCTCTGAGTCTCCTCTTCTCCAGGCTGAAGAGACCCAGTTCCTTCAGTATCGTCTCATACCCCATCCCCTGCAAACCGGCCACCAACTTTATGGCCCTACGCTGTGCTGACTCAAACTAGCTATATCCTTTTTGAAATGAAGGGGCCAGAACTGAGCACAGTAGTCCAGTTGTGGGTGCACCAGAGTCATATAAGGTGGTCGTAATATCTCTCACAATTTAAAAACCATGCTTCTGGATAAGCAAGCATGGGTGGAATTTGCCCTCTTAAACACTGCATCACACTGCTGACTCATGATTAGCCTGGTATCAACCAGTACCCCAAGGTCCCTTTCACAAGTACTGCTCTCCAGCCACTTGACCCCTAATATGTACTTATGACACCTATTCCTATGTGCCAAGTGCAATACCTTGAACTTACTCACATTGAACGCCATCCTTTTGTCTCCTGCCCACTTCCATAGTCTGTCCAGATCCTTTTGGATCTGGACTACCTGCTCCTCAGTTGTGGCCACTGCTCCAGTTTTAGTATTGTCTGTGAATTTGATCAGCAGACTGTTCACCCCTTCTTCCATGTCATTTATGAAAAGATAAAAAAGGATCAGCCCCAGGAAAGAGCCCTGGGGGACCCCGCTTTTCATTGGCTGCCGATCCGATGATTCCCCACTAAAGGTTACTCTCTGCTTTCGAACAACCAACCATTTCCTAATCCATCGGACAGTGCTTTGGTGTATCCCCAAACTCCTCATTTTCTCCACCAGGATATCCTGGGGCACTTTGTCAAAGGCATTGCTGAAATCCAGGTAAACCACATCCACTGCATCCCCTCCATGAAGTCATCACGAAACATTGTCATAGAATTCCACAAGGTTTGTCTGGCAGGACCTGTTTTTGTGGAAGCCATGTTGTGTGGCTGTCAGCCTCCTATCCCCAACTAGCATCACAAGATCTCTCTCTATTATGAGCCTTTCCAGTGTGTTTCCTACAATGGACATAAGGCTAGCTGGTCTGTAATTCCCCAAAATTGGGACCACTGATGCCACCCTCCAGTCCTTTGGAACTTCACCCATTCTCCACGAGGTCTCAAAAATGGAGGGACTCAGGCATGAGAGAACCCCTGCCAACTCTCTAAGTACTCTCGGGTGTAACCCGTCAGGGTCTGGCTCCTTTGTAATATCCAATGCCCTTAGGAGCCCCTCAACTTCAAGGGGGGTGACTCTAATCTGTGCCCCTAAGTCCCCAGCCTCATCTAACCTCCTAGACGGATTTCCCCCGTCCTGCTTTGGGGAGAACACAGAGGCAAAATAGTCATTTAGCATCTGTGCCTGATCCCTCTTATCAGTCACTGGATCTCCTTCCTCCTTATTTAGAGGTCCCACCACTTGTCTCCCATTCCTCTTCCTATTTACATGCTGAAAGAAGCCCTTTTTGTTGCTCTTGATATTCTTGGCTAGTCTCAACTTGTAATCAGTCTTAGCCTTGCGAAGAATCCTTCAGGAACGGGCCTCCTCCTCCCCCTATACCCTTTTGTCTATTTCCCCCAGTACCCATTTTCTATGGAGGTTCCTCTTTCGTCTAATCCCTCTAACCACCTCCTTTCGCATCCATGGCGGCACTCTCCTCCGCCTCCCCACCTTTCTGACTAGAGGTATTGTCAAGGCTTGCGCCTCCAAAACCTCCCTTTTGAGTGCTATCCACCCCTCCTCAAGTCACTTACCTTTCAGTAACCTATCCCAGGAGACTTTCCCCAGTCTGGCCTTCAGTTGGCCAAAGTTGGCCCTCTTGAAGTCCCGGCTTCTAGTGCTCCACCTGCTGCACGTCCCCAGTCCCCTGATCTCAAAGCAAAGGATGGAGTGATCACTCGCATCCAGAGTTCCCCTAATCTGTACTTCATCTATCAGCTCCTCCCTATTGGTCAAGACCAAGTCAAGGATGTTTCCCCCCCTTGTCGCCCCTCGGACCCTCTGTGTGAAAAACCCTCCCTCTATAGCTTCTAGGAAGCGACATGACCTGGCTGTCACCGCTGAGTGAGTCTCCCAAGTAATATCTGGGAGATTGAAATCTCCCATAATTACTGTGTCTCTCCCCCGAGATATCCTTAGAATCTGGCCTGTCAAGACATCATCCAGGGTGTCAAGTTGACCTCGAGGGTGATAACATACCCCCACTCTCAGGTCCCTTAACCCCTAAGTTTCACCCAGACTGCCTCTATTGAATCCTCATCTCTGCTGCATTCTATCTCACTACATCCTATCCCTTCCCTGAGGTATAAAGCCACACCTCCACCTCTCTCTCCCTTCCTGTCCTTTCTAAAAAGGTGATACCCTTCTATGTTCACATTCCAGACTTGCCTTTCATCCCACCAAGTTTCTGTGATTCCCACCAGATCATACCTTCCTGTTCCCAGGAGAGCTTCAAGCTCTTCCTGCTTATTACCTATGCTCCTAGCATTGGTGTTCATGCACCTCAACTCCTTCCCAGTGCTTCCTTTTCTTGGAGTTCCCAGACTCCTCCTTCCTCCCATCTTCCCTGATACCTGGCCCCTCTCTGTAGGAGTCCTGTCAGTCCCTGCAGTATCTCTAAAACCCTGCTCCCAGAGCCCTGATTCTCCACTTACACATGTCCAGTGCAGACACGTTACTGGGGGGTCTGAACCCCCCCCCGGCTCAGTTTAAAGTCCTACGGATGAAGGTTGCTAGAGCATCTCCAAAGGACCTTTTCCCCATCCTCGTGAGGTGTAACCTGTCCCTTGCCGGAAGTCCATTGGCAAGAAAATGAGTGCCATGGTCAAGGAACCTGAAGCATTCCTATCGGCACCACACCCTAAGCCAGTTGTTCACCTCGGAGGCCCTCCTGACCCTTCCTAGCCCAAATCCCCGGACTGGTAAGATTGACGAGAAGGCCACTTGTGCCTTCAGTTCCCTGAGTTTCTTCTCCAAGGCCTCAAAGTCTCTGGTGGTCCCAACCGCACCCTGCCTGGCCACATCGTCTGTGCCCACATGTATCACCAGGAGTGGCTGGTGGCCCCCAGAGCGGGCAATATGCTACACTCTTTCCTTCACATGCTGGATGCGTGCACCCAGCAGGCAGCAAACCTCCCTTGTCTCCAGGTTGGGGCAGGACACTGCCGCCTCAGTGCCCCTCATCAGGGAGTCCCCAACAACAATCACCCACCGCCGTACCTTCCCAGTGCTGGTGGGCAGCCATGCCCTGGCCCTCGCCTCTCCTGCAGTGGCCCCCTTGCCACCTGACATCCCAGATTGGGGGTCGTGCTGGTCCCTCGAGGCCTCATCAGCCCCAGCCTCCCCAAGTGGAGAGAACCTGTTTCCCAGGTCCAGTTTGGTGCCAGGAGAAGGAGGAGCCTGTGCTTGCCTCCTCCTCCTGTGAGTGACATACTTCCATGTCTCCACAGCTGCTCCTCCTGTGGTCTCTCCCTCAGCCCTCTGTCCAGAAGGGGGCTGCTCCTGGGGGGCCTGGAGAGCTCTCTCGGCCCTCAGGCACCTCACCTCCTAGCAGGGTCACCATCTTGCACTGAGGGCAAGTGTATCCCTGCCTCGCTTGGGGGAGAAGGGCAAACATTTTGCAGCTCTCGCAGCAGACAGCAACACCCATGACTCCCGTCAAGGCCATCTCTTGGTCTATCATCGGTATCTCTTCTGAGACCTTACCTTGATCCCCTGCCTTGCCTGTCCTGCAGTTCCTCTCACTCGCCCAGTTCTCCCAGACAAAAACCCACTCGCACACACACACAAGGATAAAATAAACTTAAATTTAAATTAGAAGAAAAACAAAGCACAGCACAGCACAAACAAAACAAACAAACAATCGAAAAATCAAACCCCTGTGTTTCAGGGAAGGGAGTCTCCAGACAGCCCATGCCGCAGTTAAGGGATGCAGACAAGGGACGACGCCTTGTCAGTCCCTCAGGCCGGTGGCCCTGCCTGCCTGCTTCCTCCTGGCTGCTCTAGCCTCTCTGGCCCCACCCCACTTCCTCTCTGCTGCTCCTGGCCCTCTGTTCCCCCACCCAGCTCCTACCTGCCTTCACCAGTCCCCTGGCCACTCAGCACTCTCTCCCAGCCTGTGCCTCTGCTGTTGTGCTGCTCTGCCAAGAGGCCAGAGCCAAAAGGTCCATACCACACCCTCATGCTACAATCCAACACCAGGGACTGCAGTGACAGGGATGGAAGGAGACAGGAGCTGCTGCGTTACATGGTAAGAAACCTCTGAAGCAACAGAAAATAGAACCAGCTGTGCTGGAAAATTTCCCTGCATGTAAGTCGGATTTCACAAACAATTACCAGAAATAAAATTTGAAATTTGCTCAATTGCCTTTGCATATGCTAAGCTGTCCTCTTAATCCTGTAATCATTGGAGGATGTTCATAGGGCCACACGACACAGGAAAGCACACATTCATTCACTCCAGTGTGGAAACAGGTGATTCAGAATATTGATTGATTGAGCAGCAAATAATGACCAAAATTTCCTCTGAAACCTGTGAAACCACAGAAACTGGTCAGAGGGCCGAAAGGACTTTTCAAATTGTCCTCTGCACAGTGGCTGATTTCCACTGGAATTCATTCCTATATCATTGCTCAATTTCCTCCCCAAATTTTACTCTTATCTGTGGCTATTTCTGTAATGAGCATGCTTAAGGGATTCTCAAAAAATGACTTTTGAAACTTCTCCAAATACTTTTGTGGATGAGAGTCTCTCCCCTTAATCCTTTTATGATCAGAGTACCCTCAAAGAACCGCATTAAAAATAAAGGTAGACGTGACTTTTCTTAGGTTGTAGCCATCTTTGTGTTGTACCGCATTATTGCCAGTGGTGAAAAAAGGTAGCTCAGAATACTGATTTATTCCAGTGCCAAATAATGAACATAATTTCACAAAATAATAAAATGGTTAGATTTTTCTTATGAGGTGACCTCTGCTATTAAGACTGGGCCTCAAGACAATGATGTAGCACTTGGGGAGAAAGATGCATCCCAGAAGACCAGCCCCAGAGGCCAAGATGGAGAAGACCTCCACAGCCACAGCGTACTTCCCCTTGGTGCTCAGGTAGGTGGGTGCAAAGGAGACCCACACACTGCAGAAAACCAGCATGCTGAAGGTGATGAACTTGGCTTCGTTGAAGCTGTCGGGAAGTTTCCTGGCCAGGAAAGCCACGATGAAACTGAGAAGAGCCAGGAAGCCCATGTAAGCCAGGACAGTGTAAAACATGGTGCTGGAGCCTTCATTGCATTCCACAATGATCTCTCCCGCCAGGGAATAGAAGTCCAAGTTGGGGAATGGAGGAGAGGTCAGCAACCAGAAAGCACAGATCACGGCTTGGATGCACTGAAAGACCAGCACAATGGAGGTTGTCAGTGGTCTCCCCAAAAGCTGACTTGCCAGGCTTCCTGGCTTGGTGGCCATAAAGACCAAGAGCACCATGACTGTTTTTGCCAACACACAGGAAAGTGCAAAAGAGAATGTGATGCCAAAAGCAGTTTGTCGCAGAAGACATGTGAGCTTTGT